GGAAGTCCTTGATAAGGTTTTCCTTTTAATAAAAAAGCAGCCCCCAAATCATGTCTTTTCTAACAAAAAGCAGCCTGAAAAATCAAGCTGCCAGCATAGATAAGCAAGCTGGAAGCCTGCATAAGTGAACGCTGGCAGCTGTGGCAATAGAAAACGGAAACCCGGAAGCCAGGTATGTTCAACATGGAGGCTCCCTCTTCCCTTTCCTTTGTGGCCACGTGTGCAGGCATCATGAGGCTGGCCAGGTAAAGACTCCATTTGCGGCCGGGCACGGTGGCTCACGCCTGTAATCCCAGCACTTTGGGAGGCCGAGGCGGCTGGATCACAAGGTCAAGAGATCGAGACCAACCTGGTCAACATGGTGAAACCCCGTCTCTACTAAAAATACAAAAAATTAGCTGGGCATGGTGGTGCATGCCTGTAATCCCAGCTACTCAGGAGGCCGAGACAGGAGAATTGCCTGAACCCAGGAGGCGGAGGTTGCGGTGAGCCGAGATCGCGCCATTGCACTCCAGCCTGGGTAACAAGAGCGAAACTCCGTCTCAAAAAAAAAAAAAAAAAAAAAAAAAAAAAAAAAAAGACTCCATTTGCATAACAAAAGGTTAAGGGAGGATAGTCAGCCTCTTCCGCTATTTAAATAGCACATCTGGTCCAACCAATCCACTATGGTCTAGGTAAATCAACACCACCTACTCAAGCTCCTCTATAAAACCAACCATATCTCACCCCAAACCCGGAAACTCACTGGGCCCCCCTTCCTCTGCACAAGGAAGTGCTCTTCTTTCTTTTGCCTACTGAACTTTCTTTTTTTTTTTTTTTGGAGATAGAGAGTCTTACTCTGTTGCCCAGGATGGAGTGCAGTGGCATAATCTTGGCTCACTGCAACCTCCGCCTCCCTGGTTCAATCGATTCTCCTGCCTCAGCCTCCTGAGTAGATGGGATTACAGTGCACAGCACCATGCCCAGCTACTTTTTTGTATTTTTAGTAGAGACCGGGATTCACCATGTTAAACAGGATAGTCTTGATCTCCTGACCTTGTGATCCACTTACCTCAGCCTCTCAAAGTGCTGGGATTACAGGTGTGAGCCACTGCGCCCAGCCAAACTTTCTGCCCTTAAACCTACTCCTCTGTGTCCACGTCTTTGATTTCCTTAGCACAAGACAACAAACCTTGGGTATTTCCCCAGACAAACCTTGCTGCTTCACAGGGACTAACCTACTCGAATGCCTCGTCCTTGGTTCTCTGAGAGCAGAGCTCAGGGCACACACTCACATGTGAGTAGTGCTTTAGAGTGTGAGTCCCGGGGGTCAGAGTCAGGGATGGGGCGACAGACACAGAAGCAGGGAAGCGGGAATGCAGGGAAATGCTGTGCTCACAGTGTGTCCAGCTCTCCTTGGCATCTGGGCCCCTCCACAGAATTCTTTGTGCAGGCCCAATCTGTCCTCCTGGGGCGTCTGAGCTGCTCAGCACCAGGAAACACACTCCGTTGTGCACAGGCCATCAGCTCTGCACATAATCCAGTTACGTTCCCATTGGCAGCTGGTGTCACACTTTACATCCTTGTAAAATTTTGAGTGGAATCTAATCACGATGTAAGGTCTCATTTTTAATGTTTAATTAGCATCCTCCCAGCAAAGCCTGATACATCTTACCAAAGCCTAACCATGTTTTTCATCCCTTAAGTAAAGTACAAATGCACATGGCCAAAAGCTCTGACTTGAATATTGAATGTGAGGCTGAGCAGGGACCCCTCCTTAGGGGCCTGCCGGGCACTCCCCGCCCAAGCATAGAAATGAAAGAAAATCTTGGGTTCCTTCAATGGGAATTCCAGCCACCGAGCTAGTCCTGAGAAATACATGAGCAACTTGAGAAGCAAGAGGTAACAGGAGCATAAAACAATAGTCAAGAGAATTAGAGTCAGGAATTCGTTGCTTCCCTATAGAAACTAAAAACGACATCGTAACAAACCTCCTGGAGTTGTTTTTCAGAACCTAGACCCCCACCAAATGGACCTGTGGACCTTGCTCTGTCGCCCAGACTGGAGTGCAGTGGCTGGATCTCGGTTCACTGCAACCTCCGCCTCCTGGGTTCAAGCGATTCTCCTGCCTCAGCTTCTTAAGTAGCTGGGGTAACAGGCGTGCGCCCCTATGCCCAGTGAATTTTTTTTTGGAGAGACTGGGTTTTGCCATGTTGGCTAGGCTGGTCTCAGACGTCTGACTTAGTGATCCACCTGCCTCGGTCTCCCAAAGTGCTGGGATTGCAGGCGTGAGCCACCACGCCTGGCGCACCACCATCCTTTGTTCGAATGTTTTTCCTGAGGGGCCTGGAGGAGGTCACGCCCGCAGACCAGGGCTAACATTCTTTTTTGCTGACCTCAGATTTTTTGACAAAGCTTTGCCCTCTTAACCAATCACCAATCAGAAAATGTTTGAATCTAGCTATATGACCTGTGGGCTCCCACTTCAAGACGTCCTGCCTTTTTAGCTCAAACCCCTGTTTAGCCTCCACGTACTGAAGTGTGACCGAGCCTGTAACCTCTGCGTCTTCACCTGGAAAAACCCTCCCTGGTCAGCCATCGGGGAGCTCAGGTCTTGGACGTGAGCTCCGGGTTCTCCTCGCCTGGCGCCCCGCTCTAAATGCCTCACTCTGTCTCGATGCAATCCCGACGTCCGTCCGTGTTTGGCTTTGCTGCCGGAGGGCAGAGCCAGCACCCACTGAAAGAGTCCTCCCCGGGCTTGAGAGCTTCGGGGGACAACACCTCCCTCCCCAGGCCGGGTCAACAGCAGCGGGAGTCAGCAAGAGAGCGGAAGCCGGAAGAGGGCAGGCCGGAAGACACGCAGCCCCGAAAGTCGAGAGAGGAGCCATCATCCGGGTATCTCGTGGCAGTCACGTCAGACCGGGGCACTTCCGGTTCCCAGGAGGCTGCAACCGCCCGGCGTCGCCCTCGTTTGGTGCTGCCGCCGTTTTCGGCCTCATGCCGTCCGCGCCCGTGGGCTCCTGAAAACAGCGTGTTGCTCCACGCCGCCTCGTGCGGTTTGTTGGCGCGCTCTCGGGGTTCGAATCCATACTAGAGCCCTGCGCCCAGCAGGCGCCAAGCCCTGTTCTCGGGGCTGGGGTGCAGCGTGAGCAGGCGGGAAGAAGCGCTCACGGGGCCTCCGCCGCGGTGCGGACAGACTGACGGTGACGGAGGTGGACGTCGGCGACGTGCAGTGTGTGGGATCGAGAAACATGGCGGGGGCGGGCTCGGGGGCGAGCGAGCGAGCCTGCGGCAGGGTCGTGTTGGAACCCGGCACCCGGTGTTTGCGGGGCGGGAGGAGACGCACGGAGGCGTCGGAAGGGCTCGGCCCCAGGCCCGCGGTCTCCGGGCTCCGTGGCGGCGGGCGCCCCGCCGGGGCCTCCGAACGGGGAGCGAGCCAGGGCGGAGGGGCAGAGCTCGAGGCCCGGGGCTGCGGTCCAGGGTGGAGCTCCGCAGTGCCGGCGCCCGCAGGGCCGGCTCTGCTGACTACGTTTTCTATTTCGTTTTTATTACAGCCGTTGAATTGGGGTGCCTCCCGTTATCTGATGACAGTTTTATGATTAAAAGAAACCATGCCGGCTTTGTTCGCTCTTGGAGATGGGAAAGGTCCAGCTGGCTTGAGTTCTTCCAGGTTAAAAGTGGGGCTGAGAAAAATCTGCAACTGCCTGTCCCTCCCTTCACCTCCTTCCAGCAAGAGGCAGCGGGGACTGGAGAGCTGATGAAACACCTAGATAAAGGTTGTAAATTAGTTTTCCCTGAAGCAGACCAGCCTGGGTGACAGGATAAAGGTCGTGATTACAGACAACCCCGGGCCTCTGGAGTTTGCAGTTTCTCCAGTGCTAGGAGATGGAACTCTCTGGAACCCTTCTCCAGCTCCACGGAGAGGCTCAGCCTATCGGAGCATCTGATTGGTTGTAGGCTGCAGACACAAGTTAAAAATAATCACCTAACGTTTTGACAACGCTTTCTTTTTTTTTTTTTCTATCCCGCAGAGATTGGAAGTCATTTTCTTATCCTCTTTAGGAAGTATGTTGCATTCAGGATTCTTAATTCCCATTTAAAGTCAGGACAATTGAGATAACCCTATCAGCTAACATTTATTGGGTGTTGTTATACTTGCTAATAATCGTAGCTAACATTTACTGAGTGATCATTTTTCTTAATAAAAAATAGCAACATTTATTGAGTGCCACATATTTTCCAAGTCCTGCCTGAAGAGCTTTGGATCTGGCCTCTAATCTCTTGTTACAGCCCTGAGGAGGAGGAACTGTTAACCCCATTTTGCGGATGAGGAATTCAAAACAAAGAGAGATTAAGTAATTTGCCTAAGAGCACAGCTAGTGAAGGTTGGAGAAAGTATGAAGAGGTAAATATTACTTAAATCCCATAGCAAAGATAGCTGTGATTGTAATTATAGGGTGTGTGTCTCTCTGTGTGCACACGTGTATTTGGGATTGATCGGATAAACTTTGGTCTTGGGTAAACTGAGGCATGGCTGGCAAAGGGGCTCTTTTCTTTCCCATTGAGAACATCCTTCTGGTGCTGGTGTGGAGGGATATGTGGTATGGTATAATTGTGTAGCATACCTTGTAATTAATTCCATAGCTTTCACTGACGTCTGACAGGATTAAAGAGAAAAATGTGGTCCGCGCTTAATACGGAGGGCACACTGGGTGTGCTGGTTTTTCTTTTCCATCCATCCATCAACTTTATTCTTTTTTTGGGCAAACAAGACTTAGCTCTAAACAGAGTTTATGGTTTGTTTTGCATTTTGTATTTATTAATATTTATGCTGACTGTGAAGTGCCAGAAGAATCAGTAATATACACATACCGTGTCTGCGTGGTTTGCTTCTGAGCCTGAGATCCTGAAAATATTTCACTTGTTCTTAACAGGCTGGAGTTAGGACCCAGGAAGGACACAGCAGTGGGGATATAAATAGAGAAGGAGAACAGAACAAAGTTTGAGGAGAGAGACTTACATCACTCACTCCCTCTCCACCCAGAGTGCAGGACAGAGGTGTGAACTTGAGCCAGACCAGAAGGAGCTCGAGAGCGGGTGCAGGACAAGCCCGAGGAGCGGCGGGAGCTCCAGGGGAAAATCATGCACAAAGCCTTCTTCAGAGGAAAGGGAAGCTCTAAACCTGACCGAGACAAACAGAAGCTCTTGAAATAAAAAGAAAATATCGCAGGACAAACAGCCTCCCGTCCACGGGTGCAGGTCGCGGGCACAGTGGTGACCTGGGATCGCTTTCCCAGTACTGTGAGTCGGACTCTGGTTTCTCCTCCCTGCATTCCACAGCTGCTCTGGTCATTGCAACGTGTTTATTGATCACTGAAGAATCTCAAGTTTTGGGACAAGGAAGAAACACCCTTAGGTCTCCAAGACAGCTGCGTTTCACAAACTTTAAGAAAACAGAACTTTTTCTCCCCCTGGAACCTGTGAAAATGTCACTTTTCCAAGGAAGTGAAGGTTAAGAGGTCCCGTTCTCACAGACCCTCAGGAATTTCACTTGGCTCCGAGCTTTGACCTCCGAGAAAGCCATGGCGAAGCTGTTGTGGCTGTGCTGCTGGTACTCCCGGCTGCTGCTATTTTACTACAACTTTCAGGTAATGTCCCTAAGTGGCTGGGTTGGAGGCGGGCTTGGTTTTTCCAGAGGCTTTCCCTGGGCGTGTCTCACACCGTCGTCTTTTGTGTGCAGGTGCGTGGCGTCTGTGCCAGATCGCAGGACCATCCAGGTAAGAGCGTTTCCCTCTCACTCTGCACCGTGCTTTCCCCCTGCCTGGTGCGGGTATCCCAGGAACAGCCTACTTGTTCATCTCTGAGGCATCAGCGAATGGCCCTTGTTGGGCTCCTGGTCCCTGACCTCGCTGCCCTGCCACAAGCTCTGACCCTGGGCAGCTCTGCTACCCTTCACCGGCTGAGTGGTGGATGGAGAAGCAACTTTGTGGCCCCTTAGCTGGGTCATATGAAACCTTGTGGTTAAGGAAGTGTGATCTCTTTTCTTAAATGCCTTCTGTCTCTTTCTTAAAGAGATGGAGTCTTGCTCTATTGCCCAGGCTGCAGTGCAGTGGCCGCAACCTCCGCCTCCCAGGTTCAAGCGATTCTCCTGCCTCAGCCTCCCAAGTAGCTTGGATCACAGGTGTACGCCACCACACTCAGCTAATTTTGGTATTTTTAGTAGAGACAGGGTTTTACTGTATTGGCCAGGCTGGTCTTGAACTCCTGATTTCAGATGATCTGCTTGCCTTGGCCTCCCTGAGTGCTGGGATGACAGGCGGGAGCCACTGTGCCATTGCATGTCTTTGGGGCAGAGTCACTGGAGGGGACTGGAGATCTGGCTCACAGCAGGGTCTCGAGACCTCCAGCCTCAGAGTGCTGAGCAACTTAGGCTGGAGCAGCCCACGAGTGGGACTCAGGACAGAGGGTCACCCTTGTTACTGCCTTAGAGCCACCTTCCTTTGGCCATTGTGATGCCAGATCAGGAAACATCAGGATGGGGCTTCTCTTGGGCAGACAGGGAGGCACACGCTCTTTGCTGTCAAGAGTGTGGGCGCACGTTCCGGTCAGCCAGGGCAGGGATGGGAAGACGAGGCTTTCTGGGAGCAGCGGGCTGTCAAGCTGGGCTGTTGCTCCCTGCTGGAAGTTGCAGAAGGTGGGAGGAGACCCTGCTAGTGCCTGAACCCCTGCGGGGAAGCCTGCTGTGAGCACGGCCTCTGCCCCGCCCCACCAGAGCTTGGCTGGACCCCTAGGAGCACTGTCACATGGCCCTGCCCCTTTTGATGGGGAACAGCCTTTTAAAAAACTTACCATTATTATTATTATTTTTCTTTTTTGAGACAAAGTCTCACTCTGTCACCCAGGCTGGAGTTCAGTGGTGCGATCTCAGTCTCAGCTGACTCCTACCTCCACCTCCCAGGTTCCAGCGATTCTCGTGCCTCAGCCTCCCAAGCAGCTGGGATTACAGGCCCGTGCCACCATGCCCAGCTAATTTTTGTATGTTTAGTAGACACAGGGTTTTGCCATGTTGGCCAGGCTGGTCTCAAACTCCTGACCTCGGGTAATCCACCCACCTCGGCCTCCCAAAGTGTTGGGATTACAGATGTGAGCCACTGTGCCTGGCTGGGAACCAGCCTTTAATAATCAACCGCAAATGGACTCAGGACAGCACTGTGGGCAGATCCCAGGGTGCTGGCCAGGCCTCCAGGGAGAGCCCCCTTCCTGGGTGGAGCACCAGGAGCATGCTGAGGTCTGGGGATAGGTGTTGTGCCCTCAGCCTCTGTGTCCTTTCCGGCTGCCTGACAGTGCCAAGCCAGGATGTTTCAGGTGTTGTCACCACCTCCATTCACCAGCTTGGGGGTGGGGATGCTGCCACTTCTCTTTCATCCACACACATAGGGAGCCCCTTTTAAAAGGGTGTGGAAACTGTGAGTTTCCCTCTCCTCAGCCAAATCACTGAAAGAAATAAGGGCTCCTGTGGCTTGGGAATGAGTAAGCATGCCCAGTGCTGTGTAAAGAGAGGACGCGTCCGCCGTGGGCGCCTCGCTTCTCATGAATGCAGGCCTCCTGGCTTGAGAGGAGGGGAGAGGCGGCCCCTCGAGCTGCAGGGTGGTCAGGCAGCGCTGTGTATGCTGGTCCTGCAGGAGGCAGGTGGCCCCCATGGCCACAGCAGGGCGCTCTTTGCTGCTCAGTGTTGCAGAAAAGCTATAGGGGCACTCCCTGGACTTCTGCTTATGACATAGGGTCTACACGCATCCTCACACATGCACATGTGTCCATGTGCCCGCCCCATGCCACATGCACCAACACATTACATATCCACACATGTTGACATATAGGCATACACACACCCCTATGAATATCCAGATGTCTACATATGTCAACATATGCCCACATGTGCCAACACACATGTCCACGCACATCACTCACATCCACACACATGCAGACATGTTGATGCACATGAATATACATGCAAAAAGTCCGCACATATGCCCAACACATCTATATGTGCCAACATGTGTCAACATGAATACATGTGTGTCCACACAATCCACATGCGTTGACACATGCATGCACATGCAGATCCCATGCGCACCCCACACCCACATGCCAACACACATCACATATTCACACACATCTACACATACCCAGATAGGTTGCCACACATGCATACACATGCAAAAACACCCACATATATGCCCACACATGTACAGGTGCCAACATGTGTCAACAGACATTCACACGTGTACACACAATTCACAAGTGCTGACATGCATAGACATGCACGTCCATGTGCAGACTCCCACATGCCAACACATGTCTATGTACACCCGCATACATGTATTTACACGTTTACATGCCACATATACCCACGTCTAGACACATGACCACACATTCACACAGACCACACACATCTACATGCATCCACGCACATCCACACATTTCTGCACACATGCAGTCCTACATGCCCACACATTCACACATGTCCACATGTCTACACACATCTGCACATGATCACACATGCGTCACACACATACACATATGCCCACACATGTACACCTCACACAACATCCACACACACTTGTACACATCCACACGTGTCCACACATCTTCACATACTTACACATGCACATGCCCCCACACATGTACACACTCACACATTTGCACACATCCACACACACAGATCACACATCCACACATGTACACACAGGCACCCACATTTATACATCCACACACATTTACAGATCCACACAGATGCACAGACGTGTACACACATGCACACATACGCACTTGCATTCTTGACTCTAAACTTCAAGGAGCAGTTTGAACTCACTCTTTGTTCCATATAGAGCCTTTGACCTTCCAAGTCCTGATTTAGGGTAGAAATCAGCCTTTTCTGGTCAAGAAGCCATCTTAGAGACATGGGTGGTTCTGATGACAGTGAAAAGGGACGGAAGGGCATGGTGACCCGGAGTCTGTGGGAAAGCATGGTGAAGGCGGCTGTGCCTCCTGAGCTCTTGAAACCAGAAGGAAGGTTCCTTTCTCCTCAGCTTTCCAGCCTCTGGTGGTCCCTCTGTCTCCTCGTCGTCCCTCGTCCTCCTCACTGCAAATTGTTTTTGAACTTTTCCTTTTTTCTCTTCCTTCCTTTTCGGGATAATGGTGAAGGTGGACACATTAGCTGAATACTTAGGTGTCCTACCTGAACAAAACATTCTGCTGCCTGCTCCTCTCCTCCTCCCTGCTCCCCTCCTCCTCCTCACTGCTCCCCTCCTCCTCCTCACTGCTCCCCTCCTCCTCACTGCTCCCCTCCTCCTCACTGCTCCCCTCCTCCTCCTCACTGCTCCCCTCCTCCTCCTCACTGCTCCCCTCCTCCTCACTGCTCCCCTCCTCCTCCTCACTGCTCCCCCTCCTCACTGCTCCCCTCCTCCTCACTGCTCCCCTCCTCCTCCTCACTGCTCCCCCTCCTCACTGCTCCCCTCCTCCTCACTGCTCCCCTCCTCCTCCTCCCTGCTCCCCTCCTCCTCACTGCTCCCCTCCTCCTCCTCACTGCTCCCCCTCCTCACTGCTCCCCTCCTCCTCACTGCTCCCCTCCTCCTCCTCACTGCTCCCCTCCTCCTCACTGCTCCCCTCCTCCTCCTCACTGCTCCCCTCCTCCTCCTCACTGCTCCCCCTCCTCACTGCTCCCCTCCTCCTCACTGCTCCCCTCCTCCTCCTCACTGCTCCCCCTCCTCACTGCTCCCCTCCTCCTCACTGCTCCCCTCCTCCTCCTCACTGCTCCCCTCCTCCTCACTGCTCCCCTCCTCCTCCTCACTGCTCCCCCTCCTCACTGCTCCCCTCCTCCTCACTGCTCCCCTCCTCCTCCTCACTGCTCCCCTCCTCCTCACTGCTCCCCTCCTCCTCCTCACTGCTCCCCCTCCTCACTGCTCCCCTCCTCCTCACTGCTCCCCTCCTCCTCCTCACTGCTCCCCTCCTCCTCACTGCTCCCCTCCTCCTCCTCACTGCTCCCCTCCTCCTCCTCACTGCTCCCCTCCTCCTCCTCACTGCTCCCCTCCTCCTCACTGCTCCCCTCCTCCTCCTCACTGCTCCCCTCCTCCTCCTCACTGCTCCCCTCCTCCTCCCTGCTCCCCTCCTCCTCCTCACTGCTCCCCTCCTCCTCCTCACTGCTCCCCCTCCTCACTGCTCCCCTCCTCCTCACTGCTCCCCTCCTCCTCCTCACTGCTCCCCTCCTCCTCACTGCTCCCCTCCTCCTCCTCACTGCTCCCCTCCTCCTCCTCACTGCTCCCCCTCCTCACTGCTCCCCTCCTCCTCCTCACTGCTCCCCTCCTCCTCACTGCTCCCCTCCTCCTCCCTGCTCCCCTCCTCCTCCTCCCTGCTCCCCTCCTCCTCACTGCTCCCCCTCCTCACTGCCCCCCTCCTCCCCCTCCTCCCCTCCTGCCTTCTCTCACTTTGTTTCCTGCCTCCTTTCCTTTTTATCCACTTTCCTCCCTCATTTCCTTCTCTCCCTCCCCCTCTCCCTCCATCCTATTCTACACACATTTTTTTTTTTTGAGGCAGAGTCTTGCTCCGTCACCCAGGCTGGAGTGCAGTGACGTGATCTCGGCTCACTGCAACCTCTGCCTCCCGGGTTTTAGTGATGATTCTGCCTCAGCCTCCTGTGTAGTTGAGACCATAGGCATGCGCCACCATGCCTAGCCAATTTTTGTATTTTTGGTAGAGATGGGGTTTCGCCATGTTGGCC